AACTATAAAATATAGTGAGATTATAGTTATTTCAACTATTTTTTCTCTCAATGCAGTTTAATTCCGACAGAATACATTCTGAAAGTAATTAAGGGCCGCAAAGAGGGCTAATATCTCGACTTGTCGAGTATTCTACACGCGACCAGAGAGGTGAGAGAAAGAGAGAATGAGAAAAGATACAGAGGTAGTCTTTAAAAGTCTTCAAGTTGCTCCTGTAACGGTTAAGAGGAAGTAATCGCGACGCTAGTAGTCTGAGGCGCGCGCATAACGGTCGCGGGTTTAACGAAAATTGCGCGCGGTCGGGCGCGGTGCGCGGAGGCATATAGCTCGATCGGCATTCTACAGCGACTTAAATTGCCTTTATGAAACTGGGTCTTAGGATCTCGTTAAGCCGGGCTATAAACGTCGATGTTCGTTTCGAACGACGCGGAGTGGCCGTCGTCGTCATTGCTGCGCGAACACACTCACAGACACACACTCCCCGCGTGCACTATCGCGCGCCTGTGCGCACTCACATTAACAAAATGGGTCGAATTGACATTGTGATTTCGCAAGGGATTATTAGTTGGCCAGCGTTTTAATGGGCGCGCTCGCGCGTACGTAGGTTTATGAAACCAGTTGCAGCGCGACCGGCCGGCCGGTTTTTCTCTGCCGGCTCTCTATGCGAAAGCGCGGAGCCCCCGAGTGGAACGAGTTTCCACGGCGCACGGCAACGGTAACGTTTGTCACGTTTCCGCGAAGAATGAGGCCCCGTGGAGCGTTAACGAACGCCGCAAACTTGAACGAAACTAGACACGCGTATGACGATGAATACGCGACACGTGTCGTCGTCTCGCGCGCGTTCCTCCGCGAGAAAGCGAAATCCCGCGTTAATGAAATATCGCGTGTCTCACGAACAGATTGTTTCCACTGGGGAACATACGAGACTGCTGATAGCAGACTCTTGTGAATGGTACAGACATTGTATAATACAACCCGCGCATATTTAATATGCTAGTGGCACGCAATTGTGAAATTAGTTATTCAACTCATATATTTTTGTTCCGACCAAACTATGAAAACCGCAATCTATACGTATATAATGATAAAAATTAAAATTTTTGTTATCTGCCTCTCTTCGACCATGCAGAAATGTATGGCCAAAATTATTACATACCGTAAGATGGGGTTACTTTGTGACTGTAAGGGTTATTTTGTGACACAGTGAATATTGGTTAATAATGATAATTATCACTATTGACCAATATTCACTGTGTCACAAAGTAACCCCTATAGTCACAAAGTAACCCCATCTTACGGTATATATTTCCTTAAAATTATTATGCACATTTGATTCTTTACTATAAAATTATTGAAATTATTTGAATGCCTACATCGTGTATTCGGGTCTATAGAGATCTTTACAAAGGACCCCGCACAAAACCTGTGGAAAATGGTTTTCGGTCAAATTGGCTGAAATTTCACTATATTATAGTTTTCGCCGTGCAGGTAAAAAGTTATCATTGCACCAAGTCCCAACAGTCAATATTTCCCAAGATATAAAGGGTCAAAGTAGTGAAATATGGTCATCCGCAGTAGTAAGACGTATGTTATAAGTATAAGTGATACATTGATATTTATTCACGAAATAAATAAAAATCGATTTTTACATATATATATATATATATGTAATAAATATTTAGTTCCGCAATATTGTTAAGATCTGAAACAGTTTTTTGTAAAACTTATATTTTTCGAGATATTTCACCGGTCCGATACTTTTGCCCCATCCTGTATATACATATACATATATATTGCGGAACTAAATATTTATTACATATATATATGTGTAAAAATCGATTTTTATTTATTTCGTGAATAAATATCAATGTATCACTTATACTTATAACATACGTCTTACTACTGCGGATGACCATATTTTACTACTTTGAGCCTTTATATCTTGGGAAATATTGACTTGGTGCAATGATAACTTTTTATCAGCATGGCGAAAACTATAACATAGTGAAATTTCAGCCAATTTGACCGAAAACCATTTTTCATAGGTTTTGTGCGGGGTCCTTTACTATTTTTGTAGTAATTTATACTACAATTTCAGTATAATCTAGCCTTAAAGATGTGGAAAAGAGCATAACTTTAACGTAAATTTTACCGCAAAATATTTCCCCTATGTCCCTCCGATCGAATCTCACGTGCAATCCCTTTGATGTTACAGGCTGGTTCTCAGTGGTCTCCAACAACAGTGGTACCGGGAACGCCAGGGTGTACAGAAGGGTCGGCGCGTTGGTGCGCGCCGGAGTGCCAGCGTTCTTGCTCGCAAAGCCATTGCGAGCGTATACGCTGACGCACTCTAAAATGGGTGAGTTTCATACACGTTGCCGACTAGTCATTTTTTTTTCGTCAGATTAACTTCGAAATTTCATTATCCGACCACGGATGGTCAGTTGGCCTTTTGAGTCAATAATGTGAGTGACGGATATGTCGAAAGTATTAAATCATGAATTTTTATTAGGGCGATGGACCGCGTGATGTCCATTTAATTCGGCGATAATTCTGGGAGTATAATCAGCTTAACTTAGCGATTTACATAATTCTCTTCCCGCAAAACGTGCTCTATAGCGTGTTAACCGGACGGAGATTACCCACATATCTCGCGTCACATCTGGCACCCGTCGAGTTTATTATCCCAGCCAACCCGCATTTTCCACGGGCCAACTGTCGCGGTTGCGGTTATCACCCGCTGCGATCTGCCGGTGGAAATGCGGCTCGGAACGAGCTACAAACCGCGATAATCGGCCCCGTTATCGGCCTGCTTTTCTTCTCACGAAATGAGAGATCTTCCTAAGCAATTTTTAGCGGAAATCGTCGGTGCATTGGTCGCAGAGAGGCGCGAGAACACGGATGATCTCGCTGACTGTTGCCAACAGTCTCAGTGGCGAGATGTATAATCTGACGCGCGTTTCGTACTCAAGAATAGACAAATAACAGAACCCGACTCACGTTTCCTATTTGCTTAATGACAATGTAAAGCGGCCGTTTCGACGTTCTACTGGCAGGTTATCATTCGAAGACGCAAAGGGTCCTAACACGCGTCGGTTCTGCAAGCAATACGTGCACAGACGCGCGCGCGCGCACACACGCACACAGATCCCGGTCTCGCGGGTTGGATTATTTTCTTGACTGGCGGCGACTGGCCGTGACACGAATGTCAATGTGTCCGTAATGCGACTGTCCGCGGCTGTACGTTCGCCGCGTTCCTGCGCTCAACGTGCGTACGTACGTACGTGCGCACGTAGGCGAGCCTTACGCGACAGGCTTGCGCGTAACGTAATAGGCACGCGGCCCATGGTGAAAGCTGTCCTTACGTTACTACGACGGCGGCCGCGATGACGACGAACGCGTGCACACAGGTATAGTCGGTTGCAAAACGGTTTAGATATAATGAATTTGGCAATTCACCAAATTGTTAAAATTGGTCGTAGTTATGTCAGATCCAATCCAAGTAAACTTCAAAAGGAAATAAAAATGAAAATTTGACACATGATTTATAATGTACAGATAGCACGGAGACTCTTTGCAATCGTTCAAAAAGTCAAGCATGGTCAATGTTCTCTTTAAGCATATTTATTGAAGCTTGATCCTTAAAAAATGAATAAAGAAGACGCGATTAGTTTAAAATAAAAATGCTTTTCTCTTAGGCGCCTATAAGGCTTGGAACTTTTTATGTAGTATTGAACTATTCATTGCTAACGAAAGCTCAAAAATGATAATTTTGTAGATTGGATCATTCTTGCAAAACTACACAGAGATAACGATTTATTGAATCGAATAAATGTTTCTTTCAAATAGTCCAAACAAATTATTTGGTTGACATAACAAAAATATTTCTTTGGAATTAAGCCGCAAATAAATATTTTTGTTGCATCAAACAAAATTTTGTTCGATCAATCAAAAATTCGTTTGGACTATTCCAAAGAAGTGCTTATTTGATTCAACCAAATCGTCCTCTCTGTGCATGATCAATTAAAAGTTATTGGTCTTACGCAGTAATTAATAACATAAGTAATAATAAATGATCAGTTCTATTGTCGTTGGTAATGATTTTCACAGTTTTGACAGTTTGGTCAAATCCCAACTTCATTGTATCTAAACTGTTTTGCAACTAAGTGTACACACATCTCGCGGCATTGCATTATGCCATTATACGCGCTGCGCCGCGGTAACGATTATAGTCGCGCAGGAAAGGGGGATTCCTCACGCTCTCTTGCATCTCTGTTCAGACTCCTAGTCGATCGTAGCTTCACGGGGCTCAGGTAGGTCCCGTAAGTCCGTGCGAGCGCGAGTCGAGAGAGTCGCGTCCGCGTCGTCCGTTATCCGTCGCGTTTATTGTCGTTAATTGCTGCTCGCCCGCCCCGCCTTTTGATCGTACACTTTAGCGCGAGACACCGTCGCCTGCAACGGTACCGAGGTTCGACGCATTGCGTCGGTCCCTGTCGCGTATGGAAATCAATGGCGCCGCGTTCCTCGGGTTTATACATCGAGAGACGTGATGCGCGGCGGTTCGGCCTTATAGTATATTATTACGTCAGAAAAGCGCGGAGGTTTCCTCAACATGTTAAATTCTTGTTAAAAATCACGAAAAAGAAGCGCGCATAACGGTGGGAAAAGATTCATCAATGTAGCTGGCATCTGAGAAGTGGGCCTCCCGGCGCGACTCACGACTTCAAGTTTTACAACGAAGTTTCAAAGTTCACGAGGAGATCGACAATCACGCCGAATTGCATGCTCGTCGTCAAGTATCATATATGTATGCCTACGATAATTTGTCTCTACGTTCACACAGAAAAAATATGCTACTAAGAATATTCAGAAAATATTCTATTAAGAAGAAAGCAATTACTCATTTTGCTTCCCTTTTTTTAATAGGCATCTTTAACAAAAAATGTTCTTTTGATAATAGTCTTAAAATATACACATAAATTTGAGATAAGCTCATTATCAGCCTGTATGAAGTTAGCCCCCCACTTTTCGAATTTATTAATTTTGACAGTTGTGCTGATTTGTGCTAGGTTTGTGCTACATTGTGCTCGAATTATAAATTTTTAATACGAAAAATGAGCGAGAAAAATGGAAAAAACCGTTTTTTTTGGTAGCCCCCCACTTTTTGATTTTCGAAATTTTTTTTATTGTGCTAGGTTGTGCTAAGTTGTGCTAACATTGTGCTAAAGTATTATCTTCGAAAAATAATCATGAAAGGAATAAAACGAAAAAAACGATTTTAGGCAGAAAAGAAGAAAAGTAAGATTTATATTCGTATAAGTCAA